GGGTAGAGGTCGCCGCCCGCGCTCACGGGCTCTCCCGCCGCCTTGCAGTGCAGTTCTCCAACGGCAGGCTGCAGCGGCCCGGCTCCATGTGCTTCGCCGTCTACCGGAACAAGGACGCGGCCCACCCCCGGAGGAAGCACCGGAGGATCCTGGTAAGGCCCCCCCCAGGGGGCGCGTTCCCGCCGCCGCCCCTCGCGGCTTGGCGTTTGGTAGTAGCCGCGGTCAGTAACTGCATGTAGCCGGAGTTGCCGCTCATGTGGGGGCAGTCGCGAGGTCTTGAGGCTTGGTCGAGCGAGACTTTGAAGCCTGGTCAAGATGACCCTGTTTAGTGATAAGAAGTTCATCAAGGATAGACTTTGATCTCCGAACCACAGAAAATAAGCAGAACGTACTGTACTGTAAAGAGAATGTCTGGGGTTGTGCTGAGGAAGAGTTCTTTGGCAACCCGGCAAAGGGACTGTTTGATTAATTGACTTGGCAGTGAATGTGACCTTTGAGTGGCCTGACAGTGAACTACCCTCATTGTAATACTAAAATCCACACCCAGGGGTCAAGAAGCCCCTTGCCCGGATGAAGCCCCTTCCCCTGAGCAGGCACAGCGGTAGCAGCATTAGGTAACCTGCGTTATAACTGTACGTTAGTCACTAACCAATCAGTGTCTAACAGGTGTGTTTGGAAAAGCACTAACCTCTGATTTTTGTATATAAAAGGAGCATGAAAACCTGCTGTTGGGTGCTTGATTTGTGGAGAAGTCCCCCGAGTGCCCAGGCCTGGATAAACTCGGTGTCTGTCCCGGGTGTGTTCAGGTGGGTGGTTGCATGGCGGCGCTGACCCATCTCAGCAGCGCTGTCGGCTCTGGTCGGGGTGGCTGCGGGAACAGGAGCTGCCACCCCAGCACCATCCACCCCCCGCAGGTCGCTGCATAACTGGGGCTGCCCTGGTGCAGCCTGGGCAGGATTATAGGGACCAGCGCTCTGGGAGGCCTCAAGGCCGGTGGCGATCAGGGTGAGGGCAGCCCCCAGACCCTGGCCAAGGACACACCTTTTTTTGCCCTTACAGCTGTGGTCATGGCAGCCCCTGCGAGTAGGAGCTGGAAGCCTCGCTCAGACACACAGTCCCTGTGTCCTGTCTTGGGAGGCAGCTGTTCCTCTCTACCTCCTGCCCACTGCCCTGCTCCTCTGCCAGCTTCGTTACCGTGTGCCAAGCAAGGCTTGGAAAAGCTGAATGGAGCTTTGCTCTATAGCAAATTAAAAAAAATATAATCAGAGTTTAGCCCCAGCCTGTGTGAGAGAGAAGACTGTTCTCCAAACTTCACAGGACCTCTGGGCTTTCAGAGGAAGTTCTGCATCTTATATGGGCTGCCACCTGGGGCTGGGCGAGATGGGGGGCGGCAGAAGGGGAGCGGGGTGGTTGGGGGAGCAGTGGGCAGGGAGGGCCCTTCCTCACCCTGTGCCAAGAAGCCAGGCATCTGGCCGGGGCTGTCTGCACCTCTGCAGGCATCTGGGGTGTCCTTGGGCTCTGGAGAGACGGGCAGGGGTCCTGCAGCCGCACTGCTTGTCGGGACACCGCGGTCTCTGCAGAGTGGGTCGGGATCAGACCGTGCCCCCTCAGGCTTGGCGCTGAGGGCTGACTCTTGGAGCAGAAAGGAACCAGAATAATGGCACATTTTGATTCGTGGTATTGAGAGTGACTTGTGAGAGTTAATAGCCTCTCCATCAGCACTGAATACACACTTATTTGGAAAATTTGATGGATACATGGCTGTGTGTTCTCAGGCAAAGGTTGACGTACTGAAGCTGTGTGTGTTCATGATTTATTTTAGTAATCTGAAGGGAAATAATGTTCAAAAGTTAAAATCTGTTACTTAACCACTAGTCAGGTCCATTTGATCACAAAATCTGTTGTCGTGTTGACACAGTGAATTCTCTAACAATTTTTTTTTCTTTTTATGGTTAAATTACATTATAAGGAGATTCCTGTTTCTTTTAGTAAAGAGAGAACCAAGATTTAAGTCAGAAGGTGATTTCTGCTGCCATTGCTAAATTTTACAGCTTCTTACATGCATGATTCACTCAAGGAATAATGACTTTTCAGACAAAATCCTCTGCGGAAATACACTACAGTATAGTAGAAACACAAAGATTTCAAAATACATTTAGGAGGTTGAGCCTTTCCTGGTAGTGCTCGCTCTTTTTCAGTCAGTGAATTGCAGTAACTTGGCAGTACTAGAGCTTGGAAAGAGTAGCTGAAATGGACTGACAGAGAGGCCTGATCTCTCTTCACTAGTGGCTTTGTGTGTAAACCTGGTTTCTTTCACAAATTGTTGCTTCTGGATTAAAGTGGGGCAGTCAGTACAGTGATGTGTTTTAGCTGCGTTGACATCCGAGTTTGCACACTGATAAACTCTAAATGAAAATTACTATTCCCATGATTTCTTTGCAGTTGTTCCTCATCTTCCGGCCCAGTGAAAGCTGAGGTAGAAGTATATATCGTGGGTAGTTTAAGCTTCAGGAAGTGTCTGGTTTTTAAAGATTTTTGACCTGATGCAAAATGTACCCCAAATAAGCGAAGTGAAGTTTTCCTACACATGACTAGTTTCCGATACCTGGGAATTTAGTGCATTGTGGGGAAAATAAAGCAGAGGCAGAGAAGGTTCACAGCCTTGTATTCAAGTAATTTTTCTTTGGTTTTCAGGTCTCAGAAACTGAAAGACTTTCATATGTGGGGGATAACTTCAGCAATGGAGTTCCTGCATCTGACACCTTATGCAGGTATGGTGCTGGCAAAACACAGGCAGGAATGTGGAGGTAGCAGCAGAGGAGCTTCCCAGACATGAAGTTCCCAATAGCCTTTCTCAGAGTTGTCTCAGAAGTTCCCACAGAGGCTGTAATTTGAACCAGGAGGATTTTGGCAGGAGGCTCCAGCACCCGGCAGCTACATTGTTTGTGCACGCTGCGTCCCTTTGGAAGTTGTGGTGTTATGTACAAACAGGGTGTGTCTGAAACAGTCTTGTGAAGAAAGGGGTTGAGGAGATGACTTGATGTAGCTGAAACCTAGGAGTAACAGCTTTGTTTCTAACAAGGTAACATTAGGGAATGACCAAGATCATCACCTGCTGCCGAGGAAGCCCCTGGATCATTGATCGCCATCTGACTTCCAGGCCATGGCGCCATGCTGCTCACAGGCTGGAAGAAGAAGCGCTGGTGGAATCGCCAGCCTTTATCTGTCCCACTTAAAGAGTGTGACCTCAGTGGCCTTGGGCAGATCTCAGTGGCCTCCTAATTAGCATTCTGTAGATGAGATCTTTCTCCTTCTCTGACAGGAGAACCACCAAATGGGTGGAAAGCCAATGTGAAATAATCTTGCCTTGTTATACCCAAAGGTGTTTCTTTTCTGCTGTGGTACCTGTGACGACTCCTCCTGGCCTGTACAGCACTGAAGTGCCTGTGGTGTGTGGGGAGGGGCTCCTGCTTCCAAGCCCTCTGCTCTGCAGAGCCCCTCCAGCTGCCCCACACACTTTGCTCACATAGCTCATCTCTAATTGGACTGCACTGACCTGGTTGTGTCTGACTAGTTAAAAGTGCAGATGGAGTGAGGGAGCAAAGAGCAGAATTGTCAGACGTCAGTTCCCTGGTGTGTTCTGGATAATGTTGACATTAGGAAGCATTTCTTCAGAGATGGGATGATCAGCCCCTGGAACAGCCTTCCTGGAGAGGGTGTCAGTGCCCCGGGCCTGTTGGTGTTGGAGAGGCATTTGGTCATGGCCCTTAATAACGTGCTTGAACTTCTGGTCAGCCCTAAATTGGTCAGGCAGTTGGACTACATGATTGTTGTAGGCCCCTTGCAACTGAAATATTCTATTTCAGTTCTTATCTCTGAAAAGTGAAACCAGGAGAGCTGGACGTTCAGGTATAAGAGTTTAGGATGCTGTCGCTGAAGAAAGGCACCAAGAGGCTTTTACTGCTTGAGTTTGGAGACATAAATTTAGTTTAATGAATGTGTATGATACAGTTGTTGATGCAGTATTTTTTCTAGGCAGATTTAGCGCTCTTCCTCTGAACACTGATTAAGAGATGATTTTAGGGGCTTAAGCAGTTCTTGCCTGCACCCCAGGAGGTCCTGAGCCACAGAAACGCAGGCAAGCTGACTGATGGTACATGCTTGGCTTCAGGTGTTGGTTCTGCATTCGGTGTGCACATGCCTCAAGATCTCCAGATATGCAGGCAAGAATCAATTAAGTCATGTCTTGCTTTTCTTTCAAGCTTTCCCACCCCATCCTTCTGTCCCTTTCCTCCCACATCTGCTACAGCTGAGTGCATGAGGATTTCCTCCAGTGGATCCATTCCCATAGCTCTTGGAAGCTGTCAGCCTAAAACTGTTCATTGACAACTGCTAATGTGGGTAAAACGGGGCAGAAGCCACCTCTGAGCAAACAGCCTGGGTTATTCTGAGTGGAAAGTCAGTGAATCCGGGCTTCCTGGGATAGCAGGAGCTGCCCAGAGATCCTGTATGGCCAGGGAGGTGCTGTGACTCCCACTATACTCGAGCAGCAAATCTGAGGGCAGTTGCATAGAGACTGTTGCTCCAGCTGCAACTGGCAGCCCTTTGTACGAGTGGGTTCTGTCTTCAGAAGGTGTGTCCTGAGCTTTATGAAGATGTGTAACAGCAGAGCGAGGCAGGCACCGATCAGAAGGGATCTGGCTGGGTAAGAAACTGGTGCAGTGACACCTTCATCAGCACCCACCACTGCCTGGTGGGTCACGAGACACGGTGAGGAGCAGCACAAACCATTTGGGTTTCCCCTTCTGAAATGTGGAATGCAGAGGAATTTACCTGCGAGGAATTGTCCTGTTTTAGAGGCAGGGGATAGGGGATACACATGGCTCTGCACCGTGTATTCTAAACCGCTGCTTCCGTTGGACTCTTTCATTAATCGTGCTCCTGCTCTTCACAGGTACTTTGTTGGAGTGTTAGACAAGGACTCTGGGCAGATGGAAGTCTATAACGCTGAAATATTCAACCTGCAGCCCCTGCTGGCAGGTAGGAAGACGTTGTGTGTCCCCCAGCACCAGTCTCAGCCTTCGTGTTCAGCTGCTGACTGCCCCGTGGCTGACATCAGTGTTCTCTGTTGTCTCCCTGGCTGCTTTTTCTCCCTTTTTTTTCTGCCTTACTCCTCAGTCTGGAGGAGGGAGGATACATTACACTCTCCTTCCAAAGCACTGTGTGAGGTGCCTGGTGATATTTAGGGTGGAGGTGGAGGGCTTTACAGGTGAGAGGGTGGAAGTGCTGGAGTGTCCTGGTTTGAGCCCAGAGGGCAACTGAGCACCACCACCCATTCACTCACCCCTTCCCCCTCAAAAATGGGAAGGAGGAAATAACACAAAAGGCTGAGGAACGAAGATGAGGAGGGGAGGCATGAGATTCCTGTTATGGTCACGGGCAACAGACAGGCTCATTAGGGGAAGAAAAAGAACATCAGTTTGCTTCAAACACCACCACCACTTAACAGACAGAGCAGGACAGGGAGAGCGTTACCAGGTCTTGAAAACGCCTTCCCATCCCTCCCCTCTTCCCCAGCTCAGCTCTGTTCCCCATTTCTCTCCCTCCGTCCCCGCAGGGGAGAAGGGGATGGGGTTGTGTCAGTCCCACCGCTCCTTCTGCCTCGGGGGAGGACTCCTCACGCTCTCCCCTGCTCCAGCGTGGGCTCCCTCCCACAGCAGACAGCCCTCCATGGACTCCTCTGACACGAGTCCTTCCCAGGGGCTGCAGCTCCTCCCGAACTGCTCCGGTGTGGGGCCCTGCCCGGGCTGCAGGAGGGCATCTGCCCCCCCGGTGCCCTCCATGGGTGCAGGGACAGCCTGCCCTCGCCCCACGGGCTGGGGGGGGCTCTGCTCTGGCACAGCTCCCCCTGATTCTCCCACTGCCCTTGGGGTTTGCAGAGGCGTCTCCCTCACAGCTCACGCTCCTCCTCCCAGGTTCCCGTCTGAAATCCCAGAGGCGCGGCCGCTGCCGCCCATCGGCTCGGCCTCGCCTGGAGGCAGCTCCGACTCGGGGCCAGGGGAGCTTCCAGAAGCTTCTCTCAGGGGTAGCCCTGTCCCCGTCTACCAAAACCCACCACATTCTGACCCAGAACAGCCCAGTCAGTAACAATGTCGTCAATGTCCAGAGTGAGTGCAGCCTTGCCAAGGTGTGTTATACAGAGGGAAGCCTAGAGATTGTCAGGTCAAGGGACTGCATCACTGACAACCAAAACCCCTTTTCTTCAAAGGAATGGCTTTTTGTTGCTGGACACAGGAGGATAGCTTGAAGAATTCAATCTTTTGGGAGCGAATGTTTTCCCTGTGCAGCAGTATCTGGGTGTTGCCACAGTCTATAGGTGCTTGTAGCCTTTATAGCAAAAAGTGGCCAGCCTTCCCTTTTTTGTTCTAGGTACATATGCTCATATTCAGTGTGTTCTTTAACTGACAAAGTCCTTTGGAGGGGATCTTGAAGTGATGTGCCGAGTCCTTCGGTAACTGATCAGAGCCAAAGTGATACCAAATACCTGTGCTGTCCTGGCTGCTGCGAGCCAAACACACTAACTTTTGTTCTTTTATAGATAACTCAAAACCTGATGACATGAAGGATTATCAGAACAGATCCTTCAGGGAGAAGGTAAGGTTAAACCCCATATCATATTCTGCTGTGATTATCCAGCTAACAGTGGTAGATGGTGCTTGTCTCAGATGTCTGGCTTATGCAGGGTAAGCCTGAGCGGGCTCAGCACTCCCTGTGCCTTGGACCTCTAGGAGACAGTGTGTTAGTAGTGCCTAACTTGGCAGTATTTTCATAATTATTTTAGGCTTGCTTCCCTCCCCCTGGCAGATCAGTGCTTGTTGCCTGGTTGGGTTGTGCCCAGTGAAATGTTTGAAGTTTTCTCAGAGAACGTGGATGTGGAGCCAGCGGTGGTTAGCTGAGTGCAGGGTGACTTCGGCTCAGCACGATGGTTTAATTTAATTTATCTTTCACAGATGGATTTGTGCATTGAGACCTTTGGCACCACCAAGCAGAAGCGAGCTCTGAACTCCCGGCGCATGAACGCCATAGGCAGCGATACCCTGAACACAGCTGTGACCAAAGCAGCAGCGGACGTTATAGATGCCAAGGGAGTGGCAGGTAAGAACGCTGTCTTGGAGTTTAATGGAGGCAACCAGAAGTGCCTTTTTCTGACTGTTCCTTGCCAAGTAGGGTAGGAAAAAGAAAGGGGTTTCTTTGACAGAGGCAGCACCTGCTCTGAGAGGAGGAACTCTCAGATCTGTCTGCTGGGAGAGGAACTGCTTGTGTGGGAGCTGCCTGAGTGAGGGCAGGTCCCTGTGGTGCCAGCGTCCTTCCCTGCCCGTGGCTGGGAGCTCTCCCAGGAGTCCCTGGATATCAGTTTACTGGGGTAAAGACAGAACATTCACCCGATCTGAACCGAGGCGCTGAACGTTCTTTAAGAGGAACCACACCTGGCTTCACGTCTGCAGGAAACGGCCTGTGCCCGAAAGCAGGTCACAGCCCCAACGAGTGCCCCCCTCGTGCTGCCATGAGCCAGGCTCATGGCCTCGGGCTTCTGCTATGGAGGAACCCACAGCAAAGGGAGTCTGCCCTGGCCTCAGCTGCTGTCCCTGCTGTGGGGAACCTTCATTATCAAAGCATCACGCTGAGGTGATGTTTAAGGAGAGTTGATACCCCCGCTACTGGGCCTGTCTGTATTCCATTGTCCAGCCTGTGCCACCCCGCCTGTTCCCCTGTCCTGACAAAGAAGGAGGTGGAGAAACAACAGAGGAGTCAGGGCAGGGCAGCAGGAATGGGCAGGGCCTGGAGCACACAGCTGACAAGGAGAGGCAGAGAGGAGGCCAGGGAGGATCTGAGGGCAGCCTGCAGCTGCCAAAGGGCACTCAGAGCCAGACTCCCCTCAGCAGTGCCAGCGAGGGCCAAGGGCACAAGCTGCAGTGGTTCCTGCACCCTGGGAGGACCCTTCTTGCCTTGGAGGATGGCACAGCCCTGGGCCAGGCCACAGAGCGGCGCGGGGTCTCCATCTTCGGGGGTTTCCAGGCCTTGGCAGGACAGAGCCAGGCCTGCCCTGATCCACTCCTGCAGACAGTTCTGTTCCGAGCAGGAGGCTGCACAGGTGACCTCCAGGGCTTTGTTCCACCAGCACTTCTGGGATTCTGAGGTTCACTGGCTATCATTGGGAGAGATGTCTGTTCACTGTTGTCGTTTTTTAAACCCAGGCAGCAGCCAAACCACACAGCCAGTCACTCACCTCCTGTGCCCCTGGGGAGGGAGAGTATTTGGACAGGTAAAGGGAGACTCGTAGGTTGAGATAAAAACAATTTCATAATTGAGATAGAATTAAATAATAATTACAATCTTAATAGTAATAATAGCATATAGAAATAGTGATGCACAGTGCAGTTGCTCACCACCTGCCCTCTGACACCCAGCCCGTTCCCAGTTAGTGATACCAGAGGAGAGAAAATCCCAAAACTGCAATTCCAGGAAAGAGCGAGCTTCCCAGATCACCCTCCTTTACACACTGATCGTGACATTGTGTGATCTGGAACGTTCCCTCGGCCAATCCAGGCCCGCTGCTCTGGCCGTGCCCCCCCAGCTTCGTGTGCACCTGCACACGGGCAGGACACGGGGAGTTGGAAAGTCCTGGATTTCTCAGCAACACCTGACACCATCAGTGTGTTACCAGCATCCTTCTCATGCCAAGTCCCATGATGAATCCAAAACACAGCGCTGTTCTAGCTACTAAGAAGAAGAATTAGCTCAATCCCAGCTGACACCAGGACAACTACAGACCTGTCTGTTCCAGGTTGGGTATTTACTGTGCTCTCAAGCTGCTTTGTGCCAGGTCCAAGGGAACCCAGGGTGCCAGAACCACCTCCTGCCCCCCTGCAGGCAAGAGGTGCAGCAGCAACCAGTTTGTCTTGGTGCTCTTCTTTCCTAGATTTTAGTCTAGTCTGGAGTGTCTTTTCTAAATTTTAAGGAGCAGAAAATTCTCAGCAGAAGTGATGACACCGGTCCAGAACCCAGCATGCTGAACACGTAGCGAGCTTATCAGAAGCTGTCGGCTGTTCTGTGCCTGCTGGAACACTTTCTGTGCCGTCAGCACCTGCATGGGGCAGTAATGAAACAGAATAGGGAAGAGCTGTAGTGTTTTCCTTACTGCTGTCCTATGTGAGATAAACTGAATGGGGTTTTACAGCTTTAAAACTGGTGTTGACTCAAGAACCACCACTGAGTAGACTTGTGTTTAAAGAAAGGATTTGGGATGTGTCATGTTCTTTGTGGTTTTGTTTGCATGGTCCATATACTCTTTCCTGCTTCCCTCCAAAGCTTTGATCCAGGATGTGGCCCAAGATGATGTACAGAATGTCTCCACCATCCTCCCACCATGTAATGAAGATGCTGACAAACCAGAAGATGTTTACAAGTTTGAGGACAGTATCTTTTTCTGGCAGAGTGGTTTCCCACATCTGCAAGCCTTGATGTCAGTGCTCTGGCACATGGGAGCGAGCACTGCTGGGTGTGTGAATGAGCCGACCCTACTCCCCTCGCAGGCTGAAAACTGAGAGCAGGGATGTGCTGTGTTGAGGTTTTGGCGACTGCAAGTCCTGTATACTGCCTGTTTCCTGCGAAGAGCGGGGTGCAGCAGTTTGATGGGACAGCGACACAGTCAGCTGTGCGAGGGAAGTGCTTGTGGTCGAGCCACAGTCCTTCGGAGACCTGCGGTATTGGCCGGCTCCCACGCCCTGTCGTTACGTCCTGCCCACTTATAATTTCGCTCCCTGCCCCACACGTCCTGAAGTGAGAGTGGATGGAGCTCATCTTGCTGCGGGCTCTTCAGGCCAGAAGGGAGAGCAGAGCCATGCTTGTTCTTTTCCTTAAAACACTTCCAGTTCTGTCACCAGCAGAGTATGAGGCGCTGCAGGCACCAGCCGCAGCCTTTGTTAACATCACTGCAGAGGAAATTGCCAAGAAAACGGAAGATAAAAGGTAATGCTGCTGCACACAGCCTCGTCGTAGTTGGGGTGGGCCCTGTGAAGCTGAAGTTTTTCTGTGGGGTAGGACAGCTCCTGCTGCCATCTCCGCTGTCCCCAGAGCAGAGGGAGGGTGTTTAGGCTGCGTGTGGCTGAGCAGCTGCTGCCTTGAGGAGTGCGGGTGCAGCCCTATGTGTGCAAGGAGGTTTCCTGCGGGGAGCTGGTGGCGGAGGAGGAGTGTGGAGGAAACCGGGAGTGGGGTCTGAGGGGGGCGCCTGCAGGGCGGGCGCGGGGCCATGCTGGCCACTTTCTGCACAGGGGTGCTGCGGCTTGGCTCAGGGCTGTGCAGCCCTTGTGCTGGGTATGAAGGCAGCAGGAAGGCACAAGCTGCCCTCACCCTGGGCTCCTCCTGTCTGCCTCTACTGAAGCAGCAGCATCCATGTGCTGTGCCCAGGGCCCACAGCTGCTGCAGTGCAGGGACCTTCTTAGCTGCTCGCTGGAGGGGGGTGGCTGAACGGGGTGGGCACTGGCAGGGAAGTACTCACAAAGCAGCATCCCGGGCTGTCCTCCAGGGGTGTCCAGGGAGCTCTTCTGAACAGCTGAGTGCTGAGCTCAGAGGTGTGTTCTGTCCTCCTGGTGATGTAAACTTATTCCTCGTCCCCCCCTCTCTCTCCTCCAGCCATTGCTCCTTTGTTTTAGAGGAGCTGAAGTTCTTGCCTACTGATGAGACGAGCAGAGATCACAAAGCCCGATGCCTCTGGCTCCTGGACACCCTTATTAAGTTCAGCTACCTGAAAGTGATCAAGAAGAAGCGTAAGAGACTTTTCAGCTCCTCCACTTTTAAGCTGTCTGACTGCGGTAGAAAATGGTAAAGCTGCCCAGAAAGAGCTGTGTGGTCAAACAGCTGCAGCACTTGCTTTTGGTCTGTTTTGTGCCGAGGTTGAGGGTCTCTGTGTTGTTGAGGATTGTTAGATGTGTGTCTGCTGGGAGGTGTATGTCCAAACCTTTTCCATCCCTTCGTAACCGCTGTGCATCAAGATGGCACAGTGAGATCCTCTTGGTAGGACACAGGGTAGCTTAGATTGGAAATTTTGAAATTCTTCTAGTTTATCAGTAGTTCTGCATTTACAAATATGTCTTGTATTTTCACACTTTAGTCCTAAGCCAAAAGGCTGGAAACTGTCAGGTCTCTCCCTCTCTCTAGGCTCCACATTCCAGGTGCAAGAGACAGACAGTACATGATACATTCTTTAGAGCTCTTGTGCTTTTGAGAATGTTTCCATCACCCTTGGCTTATTAGCTCAGGGTGGGGTCACAGTGATCATACCTCTGCTTCATTAAGGCTCTTGGTTTTAAAATGTCAGCAACTGCTGTTCTCAAAAGCACTGCACAAAATACTTTGGTTGAAATTTTCAAGACTTGCTGCCTTTCATAGAACCTGTGTGTCTGGGTCTCCTTGTCAGTGCTGAAACAGCCACTGTCAGCCTTTCCAGTGGCAGGGGGTGACGGAGGAGGAAGGGGCAAGCTGGTTGGAAATACCCTGCATTGCTGGAGACACTGCCGTCAGGGAGGGTGTGAAAGTGCTAGTAGGAATTTGGTAGCATGGTTTCAGTTTTAATAATACTTTCTGGCAGGAACATCTGTTAAAAGGCAGAAATATATTAAATACCTGTGTAGGTACACAGGCACACATTGTGGATTGTGTCATTCTGAAGTGGGAGATCACATTTGTAAAAAAATCAAAGCTGTTAGGAGCCTCTCTCAGACCTGAAAAATTCTGAGACCTAGAAATCAAGTGCCCAGGCTCCTTCTAGGTTCTCTGTGTTCCTGGGAAGAGGCGATAAATGTTGTGTTAATAAATGTGGTATTGCGGTGGCTGGAGGTTGGCAGTACAAGGAAGAACACATTTCTCATTTCCACTGCAAACTCCTCTCTGTCCTAGATCCAATGGGCCCTGAATGCCCACACATCATTAGCAGGAAACTCATGAAGAATTTCACTTCACTGACCTACAACAATGGCAGGTAAGGAACTTTGTGTGCTTTGACGTTCTTGAGGCAGAGACGTGGCAGAGTTCAGCTTGAAGGGCCACAGACATATTATTGGGAAATCTCCTGCCAAAATGGAAAGTAGTAGGAGCTCCTCTTGCTTTGCAGCCCCAGCCCTGTAGAACGCTGGGAGTGGCTGGTGATTGTCCATTTTAGACAGTGCAGGTCTAAAGTGTGGTGGGAGAAGCTGGGTGGTTGTGCAGAGCAGGCCTGAGCCTGCAGGTTCATCCCGTGTGACCAGGCAGGGTGTGCAGGCAGCTGCCTGATGTCTCTGGGCAGGGGGCAGGATAGTGCTGGCCACTGGTGGCTGCAGGGGTCCAAGGGACGTGCCTGCTCTTCTGCCACCACAGAGCCTGCCGGGACAGGGGTAGTGCAGTGGCCAAATAGCGGCGCTTTTTTCACACCCACATAGTTTAATTGGCTAATGGGGCTTTTAAAGAACGTGGGTGTGACTTGCTCGGATTCTCTGCTGAAACAAAAGTCTGTAAAGCTTTGCAGTGGTGAGCTCACCCTGCGCTGAGGCCCGTGCCTCGTGGTGCCTGGACTGAGCCCCAGCCCTGCCTGCCTGCAGCAATGGGCCATGGGGAGGTGGGGCAGGGCCCCTGGCCACAGGCAGGGTCGGAGCCGGCTGCCTTGACCAGATGGCCCTTGGCTGCAGCCTTTGGGCAGGTGCCACTTCAACTAAACCTCTTCAGATCTGAAGGAACATTTTCAGCAGTGCTCTTGAGGGGAGGCACCAAACTACAGGCAGGAGTGAACAGTCCTTGCCCCTGCCACAGCGCCGTCCCACGCTGGGGGAGCCTGCGGCCTGGGAGGGGTGCGGTGCAGGTTGTGCACTGCTGCTGTGAATCCAGCCTGAGCACAGAATCCAGACAGGCCAGCTTCTGTCTGAGGGCCGAACCAGTGACGAGCAGTCGGATTGCCCAGAGGGCTGCCAGCTCTGTGGGTTGTGTGTTGAGGTGCCATTAGCACCTCCAAGTGCCCTCAAAACAGCTTCCCAGTGCTTTCTGTGCACAAAGCACCAGCATGGCAAAGCGATGGAACTGCCCTGAGTTCCTGGTTTTGTCAAGGCTTTAGCCATAAAACCTCAGGGGGCTGAACTTCTGAACAGAAACAGGCATGTGAGGGGAACAAAGGAGCCTGTTGGACCCTGTGTTCAGAGGTCTGCAGTGCTTTAAGCTCTTTTCAGTGTCTAGGAAAAGTCAGTCATGTCGAACAGTTGTGTCTGCACCTCATGGGGGTTGTGTTTTGTGTGTACACACACTCCACATCTCATGTGCTCTCGCTTTTGCTGTGCAGTGTCCAGAATTTAATCTCTGCATCGATGAAGACTAAAATCACAGCCTATGTCATTGTGTTGGCTCTGCACATCAACAACTTCCAAACAGACCTCACCGTCCTGCAGAACGACATGAAGCTCCAGGAAAGCAGGTGAGTGGTGTCTGTTCACCCTGGAGATCTGCGGTGAGCCCCTGCAGAGAGCAGAGTGCTCTGGTGTGGTGCAGTGACCCCTGACAGCCCCTCCCTTCTGTGATCGGACTCTGTCTGTTATGAGTGTGTTAAAGCTTTGATTCGAGGCCCTGGTGCTGTGAAAGGAGGGTGGATGTGTGTCTCAGACTTGGAAAGGGCACTTGCTGTGAAGAGGGTGCGTGGGGAGCTCTTCAGCTGCTCTGCAGGGAGGGAAGGGGGGCAGGTGGTGCCGCAGCGGCCCCCCAGCGCATATCCCTGCCCACTGCCACCCCGCTCTGTTCCTTGGCTGACAAATCCCATCTCTCTTCACCTTCCTGTCCTCTGTGCCCCCTCATCCTGCCGGGCCCCCATCCCTGTCAGGCACCAGTCTGGCTGCAAGTGCAGGTTTGCAGCTGACTGAAACAGGAGAACTAGCAACAGGGGTTTTTTCCTCACAGCCACACTGTGAGCAGGTAGTTGGTGTTTACGTGGAGGTATCCCAGGCCCCTAAAATTTACCTGCTCTGGGCTTGGCACTGAGGAGATTGTTTCTGAGATAGTGATGAACCTCGGGGCTTTGCAGCAAGGGGGAGAGGTTGTAGGCGGAACTCCTGGCGATAGTACTTGAAATAAGGATGTGCCAAATCAGGGTTGGTGAAGGGGAACGGGTAGAAAATGGCTCTCAGAATAACCTTGGGGGCAATCAACCCTTGCTGTGTTAGCTCTGGGAGCAGTGGTTCCCTAGGCTAATTTTCCAGGGAGGAATACAGGAGCGTCATGCCCCTGCTGTAGCTGCAAGACCTGCTTTTCCCAGAAGGTGTCAGCCGGAGCCTGCTGCCAGTCCTCCGGCTCCACGAGCTCTTCCCCCACCATCCAGCACGCTGGGATAAACGGGGAATTGATGGGAAGTGCTCAGCCAGGGCACAGACACTGGCTCTGCAGGCGGCTGGTTATCGCTGTGGGGAAGGGGGGAGCCATTAGGTCAGACACACTCCGTAGTGTCTCTCCCACCCTGTCCTGTGCGGGGGGATGTGGCACCGAGGACACGTGCTTCCTAAGTGGGTCACGTCGGTCCTTCCCGCCTGGGATGGTCCGTGCTCGAGGGGCAGGGTGGGACCTACGGGGGTACACAAACCATGCGCTGCAGTGGGGGCAGCATCAAGGCTGTCCCGGGGTTTCTGGCTGAGGGCTGTCATGGGATGGTCTGGTGGTGACTGGAGGTTGTCGGAGCACTTAAGTCGCTTAGTTTGGCAAGCTTCCTAATTAGTCCTGATGCAATTACTTCTGATTTTGCCTCCATTTACGCTCTTCATTCACTGATGGGTGATGGTGGATTTAGCAGCGGTGTTTGCTGTTGGCTTCCAGCCTTTTTTTTCGTTCCTTTTTTTTCTTTTTCGAACTAAGCTTGAGGATTAAGGATCCATGTTGTTTTTCACAGCTGACACCCAGGTTTTGTTCTTAACTGCTGTACCGTAGCTGGGAACACAGGGCACAGTATGAGAAGAGGGTGGAGGAGGCTGGGAACTGCTGGAAGAACTGGGGAGGGACACATATCCCTGAGCCACCTGATGGCGTGATCCTTGCTTGGAGTGGGAAGCCTGACTGAAGAGCCTTCCCCAACTGAATCTGTTTGTATTTCAAAGATAATAAAGTCAGCTGGGAGAGTTCTGGGAGCGGTGTCCTTGGGACCCTTGCTGAGGCCGGGACACCTGTTTCCCTGCCAGCTTCCCTTCAGATGCGATTTGTTCCCTCTGTTTGATGAGCCTCCAGGCATGTTGTGGCTTGCATCATCGTGCCCAAGCTCTTCACACTACAGATCTCAGCCAGGCCCCTCTTCTTACAGTTCAGGATGCTGAATTTTCGTGGCTAAGAGGAGGTGTTCTGGCTGTGCCAGGTCTCATTCATCGTACCGCACACGGGAGATGAGTGCACTGGGAAGCAGCCGTGGGCTGCCAGCAGCAGCAGCTGACCACAAATGATGCCTGTTCTCCTCTTCATAGGGAAGTGGAGAGCAACATCATTTCTCTGCAGTCAGCTGGCCACGGAGTAGGGCAACCTGGGTTTATAATGCTCCCCGAGGTGGTGGTGCACAGCACAGCAGCGTTCTGGCCTCCCCACAAAGGCTGTGCATGACCTTGCAGTCGTTGGATACTTCCAGCTCCTGTCCCTGGTATCCCTGAGATGCAGAGTCCTGCACTGCTGCCTCCCAGCTTCTCCCCCGAGGCAAGAGGCTGCTGGTCCTCAGTGCAGGGTCCCGGTGCGGGAGGCTCATGCGCCGCATGGGCAGAGTCTCTGGTGTTTTCCAGGATGACGGACATCGCCAGGGCCATGAGGTTGAAGATCTCCAAGGCGAAGGGACTGCCAGGACTTGAGAACAATCATGACCACAAGCTGGGCACTCTCTCCCTCCCCTTGCCTGTGCAGAAGGCATCAGGGAACCACCAGAAGCGCAAGAAAATGAACTAAAATGTCTCAGAGGCCCAAGCAGGGGCGCAACGGTTCCTGTCTCAGTTGCTGTTCTGCGCACAGATCCTCGAGGGGCTGCTGGACCCCGCTAAAACCCTCTATCCAGGCTGAATTGGAACAGATGTTTACCTCTGCTTTTTACTGCTGCTTTTTTTGTGTTTGTGTAAAAATTCCCTGTGTGAGCAGAGAGAGATGCAGACTGTGCCGGAGCCAGAGAACACAGCTGGAAGCTACGGGGCCTCCGCTGAGGACTCCGGTTGGTCCTGGCAGCGAACTGCCGGCTCATGGCCCGCTTTGCTTCTTTTTCAGACACACAGGGTGGAAAGCATAGGAATAGAGAGACTAAGCAAAGCGTTACTTACACACAACTTTTGGGCTCTGTAAGCTGTGTGCTTGTTTCTCTACAGTTTCAGTAGTTCTGTGTTCAGAAGGTATAAAGATGCAACATGAATAAAATCTTCCTGCTGCTTCTCCTGGCCTGGCTGCTTGTCTGGAGGAGGGAGAATTCTGCTGACTGCGAGCTCGTGTCATCATCAGAAAGGGTGACGGGTTTCAATCTGGAGCTGTGGTATCCCAGCCCTTGGGAGAGAAACTTCTGGGCTAGTTTCTCTGCATTTTCACGCTAGTCCTGGGCTGTAAGCCTCACTGCAGTGTCAGTTAGGCAAGGTTGTGGGAATCTGAGGTTTACGAAAAGCTGAGGATCACCTCCAAGAGAAAATGCTTATGTGAGACAGGAGCACGGGATGTCAAGAGCAGTCTTCTCTTTGAGGTGTCTGCTTTGGGTAGTAGTTTGGGTTTAGAACATCAATCTGGGATTTAAGGGTAACTCTTTACTCACCTCAGTGGCCCACTGCTCACAGCTCTCATTCAGAGTGACACAAACATCATCTTTTCCAGGTGAGGGATGATGAATGCCATGAGAGTGACAGGCTGCAGATAATAAACAGGGATGTTTTTATCATTTCATGCAGAGTGGTTGAGGTTGGAAGGCACCTCTGGAGTCACCTGGCCCAGTCCCCCTCCTCATGCAGGACCGTGTCCAGGTGACTTCTGAATGTCCCTCGCAGCCTGTGCGGCGAGGTCACCGCACCCCGACGGGGTGTTTCCTGATCTTCAGAGGGACCTGCTCGTGTTTCTGTGCCTGCCCAGGCCTGTGGTGCCAGTGCTGGCACCACTGGGAAGAGCCTGGCTCGTCCTTCCCTTTAGGAGTTTGTAGATGGGGATAAGATCCCCAGGCCAAGCTGTCCCAGCTCAGACTCCTCACAGAAGCTCCAGCCCCTTCAGGCCCTCACTCTGTCCCATGTGTCCATCCTCTTGTGCTGGGAGGCCTTGAGCAGTAGCCTGCGCTGGGCAGAGAGGGGGGTGATCCTCCTGATGCCCCCAGGACACCGTCAGCTGCTGCAGCTCAGGGTCACCCCCGTGTCCGCCAGGACCCCCAGGTCCTTTCTGCTCTTTTCGGGCAGCCCCAGCGTGTCCTAGTTGCTGCTCCCCAGGCGCAGGACTCAGCACCTCCCCACGCTGAACTTGGGAAACCTCTGACTGACCAGGGCCTTGTTCTCGAGTCCTCAGTACAGTGAATTTGCCCAGGGAGTTGTTCTGCCTGAAACCACTTCTTGTGGTTCTAAATTCTCATTAGGATCCGGTCTTCTGCACATCAGAGCCAACAGCTCTGACTCAGACGGGCACGAAGCTCTATTCTGAGATACGTAATTAGTTTATCCTCTTTGATCTAATTCTAGCTTGTTGCTGCTGTGCTTCAGATGGTTGATATGGGGCATGAGGAAGGGGCAGGCATGGGTTGCCCTGAGAGTGCCACGGGGTTTTGGACAGAAAATTAACTGCTGTTATAAAGCTGATTCTGTGTGTCGAGGCGAGCAGAGTAGAAAGCAGAGGTGGTTGTCCAACCAACCAAGTGAGAAGTGATGCTCTTTTTCATGATTTGGAGCCGCTTGCAGCAGAGATGAGGCTGTTAATTGCTATTGACATCACGCTGGGTGCAGCAGAAGCTGTTCTGACCACTCTGTGAGAGAAGCACCCCCCATTCAGGGAAAATGAGTGTTAATTTAGTCCAAAGGGGAGAATGACTCATCCGCACTGTGCCTCACTATTAGCTGCTGCGCCGTGGAAAGCAGCTCTTTGCCTTGCCGGAAACAAGGTGGAGTTCTTGGCCAGGTGGAAAGAGGTGCCAAGACAGGGAGGTGGCAGTGGGGAAGTGGGACCAGGGATCCCACCTGGGGGCCAGAGAGATGATCCCCACCCCAGGCAGCCCCCACGGGAGCAGGACAGGGCTGCTCTTGCCAGAGGAGAGCAGCAGCAGGATGTGGGTAGCAGAGGGACTCGGAGCCCCCAGCCAAGCACCACAGAGGGGTGTGAGGAGGTGGGGTCAGTCCCTGGGAGACAGCAGGAAGGGCTGAAAGGAGAAGTCCAGCAGCAGTGGAGAAAGATGCTTTGCTGGAAACGGGGAGAGGTTTAGTAACGCTCTGCTCAGCTTTCTGGGGTTGCCTTTATTGGGAGCACGTCCTGGACGAGGGAGTGCAGGCGAGGCTGGAGCAACCCCGTGGTTCCGCGCTGTGAGCAGGCTGTCCTGCATGAGGGGCACGGGCACAGCAGCTGCAGGGTGGAGGCCGATGGCTGGGGCAGGCTGGCTGGGAGCAGGGGGGCTGCAGCCGTGGCTTTCCTTGGGCTGCCACTGGACAGCTCACAGCCCGTCTTGTGGAAACGCTGCCCACAGGCACTGCCAAACCGTGGCTGGGCAACACCGTCACAGCTGGGCCAGCGCAGGGGACGAGGCAGGACCCGTGGCATCGTCTCTGGGGGGTCCGACGGGAGCAGGGACTCCCATGGCTGCCTGGTTTGACGGCAGGCAGAAGCTCTCCCCACTGCTCCTCTGCCACCGCCCCAAGATCACTCCAGTGCTTCGCTCGCACACTGACAGCATCAAAGTCTGCTTGGTCAGGTGTTGCCACCAGGTAAAAGGTTCCATGAATTAGGCTGGGCACAGGCTTCCTCTGACAGAAGAGCGTGGGGCTGTGTAGGATGGGTTGGAGTCAGCTTCCCCCAGCAGTGCTGGCGCGTTGTCTCACAGCTGGTTCCCGCACAGGCAGCAGGACAGGTGGAGCAGCAGCGGGGCAGCACTCCGCTTCCACCACCGCTGCCCTCCTGGAAACGGCGAGCTCTAATTAACTTACAGGCAGACAAACGCGCTCTTTGAGCAAAGCAAAATGCGAGGTCTGTGCTGTGGCCAAGGGCCATGCAGGGCACACACGCACCCTGGCTTTTCACATTGTCCAAGGGTGAAAAAGCCACAGGAGCTGCTGGGTCAGGGAGGCTGGGGGGCTGACACCTGCGGAAGATACGAACACGCACACGACCAGTATGATCAAGCAATGCCCATTTATTGAAGGTAAGCAAGCCCTTTTATAGGTTTCTCTTGTGCACGCGAACAGTACGTGGTACAGTCCTTATGACTGGACAGTTAGCTTTGTCCACGCGCTTCAAGCCTTCTCACGATTGGATAATAAGCGCCACAGTCAAATGTCTTTCTCCGTCCAACCCATCTCCTGGAGTTGGTTGCTGAGTTCTTTGTTCTGTGTCCTTGCCGAGGCGTGCACACGTGTAGGATTGTTCACATGTCTATTATCTCCCAACGTATCCCTCTTTTTGTTTTTGAGCAATCCACATTCCTTGTGGGCTTTTTTTTGCAACGATTGTTAATACAACAAACTAAGCATGGCAAAATAATAACGAAAATAACAATTACAGCAATTCCAACAATTCCCCCTTGTAACAACTTCTTCAACTATCCTGTGAACATAGTTAACTTTTCTATGTAACTTGGGCCCCTACTGGTTTGGAAGGGATTTCAATAAACACATTCAGAATGTATGAGCATTAATCAATTAGAACCATTGCAAGGTTTAGGATTGTGTGCTTGACCTTCTTTCCAAGGCCTCACCCAGTGAGATGGAACCCCCCGTAAGCCATGATCTGTAAGCACACACATGTAACCTCTGCCTGTTAATTGTACTTTAACAGGTCCTTCCCACTGCCCAGTATTTAAGGTTTTGAACATAACTAACGGTTGCTGTGTGCCCATAGAGTGTTCAGCATCACCCTTTATTGCTAAACTGTGAATCATCATTGGTGGTTCCTGACGTTCTCCTGTAAGCCTCAAAAAATTCAAAACATATAAAACTTTATTTAATCGTTCAGATGGCATCATACCTGACATTGCCCCTTTTTGTTTTTGAAGCATTTGCTTCAGCGTTCGATGAGCTCGTTCGATGATTGCTTGTCCAAGTGGGAGAGCGTGGAATTCCTGTGCAGTGTTTGATGCCCCAGAAGCGTTGGAAGTGTCCAGAAATATATGCTGCACCATTGTCTGTTTTGATCTTTCTTGGCACCACAAGTACAGCAAAAGAACTATATAAGTGTTTTCAACATGTTTAGCTGTCTCTCCAGCTTGAGCTGTAGCCCAAATAGTCATGGAGAAGGTATCAATAACAACATGTACATATCATTGTCTGCCAAATTCTGCTATGTGAGTAACATCCATTTGCCATAATTGTAAAGGTGATAGGCCCCATGGGTTAACTCCTGTTCCCAGGCCAAACCCTATTTTTTGACAGGATGGGCAAGAGGCAACAATGCCCTTCAAATCCGCAAGAGGAATTTTAAATTGTTTATGCAACATTTTTGCTGACTGGTGCAAAAAATTGTGAGATTCTCTAGCTTGTGCAAACAAATTTGGAGACAGCCCAGGCCCGGCTGGAGCAACCAATTGATCATCTAGTTCATTTCCATGCCCTAATCCTTCTTTGGATTGGTGACTTCTGATGTGAGTAATGAAGTAGACAATGCTTCTCTGATCAAGAATGTGAACTGTTGCAACAGTTTCCCTAAGTGTTTATTTTTTATTTCTTTTACTTGTCCTCGTTCAATCCTTTTCAGACACTACATTTAATCCCAGATTTGGCCAGGACAGAAATGCCCACAAAACTGCTTGGAGTTCCAGTGTTTGCAAGGAATCTTATCTTTGGCCTTGAATGAGGTGATATTTCCATTCCTCTCCTTCTAACCAGGTACATGCAGCTTGCTTTGATTTTTTCCCTGCATCTGTAAAAACTGTTAACCCTTGAACTGGTACTTCTGATTGCATTGGGAAATTGGTTCATTAACAATGGTAGCAATCGATGTGCTGGATAAACATTAGCTGGTTGGCCAGTATAATCTTCAAGAGCAACTTGTAATGCCTCAGAATGTCTAAGCAGCCATTCTAAATATTCTTGTATTAGAGGGACAATAATAGTTTGAGGATCAGTACCTGTAATTTTAAAAATTCTGTGTCTGCCCTTCATAATTAACTGTGATACTAATTCTGCTCTTGTAGTTATGGTTTTCTTAGGGGTATGTACAGTAAAAACCTGCTCTAGTATTCACAATGGTTGTCTTTGTTCTGAGTGCCA